TGTGATAAAATACAATTTAATGCTGCGCCTGTACCGAAATAAGATATGCATGAATATTACGCTTTGTTATTTATATTAACAAACATAATAAAGAATCTAATATAATATTTTAAGGCATTTACATATGAATGTGCACGGTTATAAGGCCAGAAGAAGGCCGAGAAAGATAAAGAATGTAAGGTAATATTTTAAGGAAGGTGTTACATATGAATGTGGACGGTTATAAGGGCAGGAGAAGGCCCAGAAAGATAAAGAATGTAATTATTTTAAGGAACGTGTTACATATGATGTGGGCGGTTATAAGGCCAGAAGAAGGCCGAGAAAGATAAAGAATATAAGGTAATATTTTAAGGAAGGTGTTACATATGAATGTGGACGGTTATAAGGGCTGGAGAAGGCCGAGAAAGATAAAGAATATAAGGCAATATTTTAAGGAAGGTGTTACATATGAAAGTGGACGGTTATAAGGACTGGAGAAGGCCGAGAAAGATAAAGAATATAAGGTAATATTTTAAGAAAGGTGTTCCATAAGCATGTGGACGGTTATAAGGGCTGGAGAAGGCCGAGAAAGATACAGAATATAAGGCAATATTTTAAGGAAGGTGTTACATATGAATGTGGACAGTAATAAGCGTATAAGAAGACCGAAAAAGAGATGAATGGACCGTATGAAAGATGATATAAAAAATAAAGTAAATAACGAAATGACTGCGAACAGAGACAAATGGAAGGGACAACCATATTAGGCCGACCACAAATAACTGGAATGAGGAAGAAGGAAATGAAAATTGTTATATTAAAGAACGTTCTTTTATTGTTTTATGATATTTAAATGTAGAGTTGTAGAGTGTCTTATATTTAATGGATTAAAGGACTATATTAGGCATGATTTAAGAAGAAAAAGTCTCACACACTTCATATTTAAAATAAGTAATCGTGTCGCTTAGTAACAGTTGATATGTAACGTGTAACTGAATCAGATCGAGAATAATATTTGCTACTGTATATAATCCACTGAATATCTCCATCATGTACCTCATGTATGCTGTGCCTGTAATAAAGCATTTATCTATCTATCTAAATGATTATTTTTTTCTGTGATAAGCACAATCAAGAGTTTTCATCATGTTCATAATCATCATTCATCATCAAAATTGAGTAAAGTTTCATTTGAACAGGGTTGAAATTGAATTGGTACCCTAACGTAACCTAACGTTTAACTTGTTTACTACCTTAATATCATTTCTATTGTCTCCTCTCACACTTCAATGTTTATTTATTTTATTGTCGATATTTTTATTATCTTCAAATGTATTTATTACAGGTCTATTCTTAGTAAATATAAATTACCCAACATTTATATAACTTACCAGATATTTATATTTCCATTTCAGTGTGCATTCCTTGAATGTAGGTAATTAAATTAACTTACTTATTTCTATAGAAAAAGTAATAGTATTTAGATAAATGAACTTGATGTAATGATCATTATTTAATAGTCTATTGTATCATTTACTGGGAATTTAAGATTCAGTTAAGTAGAGCAAGAAACTTTTCAGTTCCTTTGTAGTTTATAATTAAACTAGCTACTCGCCAGGCTTCGCACGGGTGTACATGTATTATATCTAAATCTACCTCTTGAATCACTCTCTCTATTAAAAAAAAACCGCTTCAAAATCCGTTGCGTAGTTTTAAAGATTTAAACATATATAGTGACGGACAGACAGTGACAGCTACTTTGTTTTATACTACGTAATGACAATAATGAATAAATACAGTCTTTAAAATATTGGTGTTTTTTTATACATTTTATATTTCTCATTATTATTAGGTAAATTTACATTCGCAAATTATTAAATAAATTGCCTATTAAGTTTAGTTAAATTTTCTATTAAAAGAATAAATTCCTTTAAATCGAATTTTCAATTTGATCGGCACTTAATTTTATACAAAAATAGTGGCAAATACGCATCCGCCTTGTCTGATGGTAAATAACTACCATATCCTGTGCACACTTGAAAAACAAGGGGTGTTCTCATTGCTGAGCTTCGCGCGTAGAATAAATGATTTCGAAAAGGTTTTTGTTTGTAATACTTTATTGTACAATAATATTATAAATAAAAGGACACAATTGACTTAGGTTAGGTTTTCGTGTCTTAGAATTATTTTAGTTCTGTTGCACTGTTATATTTGGACTTTTTTTTTTAATTTTACCACTGAGACTCAGCTCTGTAAAGTATGTTTCCAGCATTATGAGTGAGTGAGACCAGTGAGTTGTGGTCCACATTGACTATATTTTGTGAAGTGTTTTGTTGTTTTTTAAATAATATATCATTATTCTTGTGTATGAGTGAATAAATTATATTCTATTTATGTTGTTACGATGTAAAGGGACACTGCCAACCCACAATTAGAATTTAGGGGAATTAAGAAGGTATAACTTTGGAATTTCTCTCAACTGAGTTGCCATGATAAAAGTCGGGTTGCAACCTGCATTATTTATTTTGAAAATGGGAGAAATTCTCAAAAGTTCTATTTAATCGAGATTTTATGTTAAGGGTTCAAGGGCACCCTACACTTCAGGGCTCGGGGGCACTGCCCGGCCTAGACCCTAGGTAGCTACACCACTGGTGACACCCCTGGTGTTTCTAATGGTGTGGCTACGGTGACCATTTACCATCAGACTGTATGCTTGTTTGCCACCTACGTTATATAAAAAATAATGCGCTCCCTGCATGAATGATACCATTAATATAAACACATAGAGTCATCTGCCCATAGTTTCAGATGACTCATTGTGCTCTCTAAAATATGGTCGAGCGCAGTGATGGCTGGCTCATCCGTCATACTCGTGAACGAGTGTTGCTTGTAGGGACTGCTCTTATCACTACGACTAATTTAATCTTATTGTATATTTGGCCCAAATAAATTAGTGCTGGTTGGTATTCACACGTTTAGACTTGTAAATGTAAACTTACAAGGATTGTTGAAAAGAGCAACACACAAGTTTCTTGCTCGTTCTTCTTGTGACGCGACAGATTTCCGAACGAGCGGTAGATAAAAAAAAAATTGTTATGACTATTCGAAAGTGCTTGAATTAAGTTTATTTGAATAAATGATTTTCTATTCTATTCTATTCACAAAAATTTCAGTTGAGAATGCCTCTAACCATCCCATGTGCGAATACAGTCGTAAAGATATTTAATAAACTTTCTCCTCCAATATTAATCAGATTTCCATCATGTGTACTGCAACGTGTTTAGATACAACTACGCAGTGTTACTGTCAACAAAAACAGATTACAGTATGACCTATATGTTCGAGCGTCATGGATCTGTAATAAGTTCTAACATTTTATAATCGGATATTGTTATTAGAAATGACAAACGTGCATGGCAATAGTAGTTCTTGCATGGGATTTAAGTTTATTTTGTTGATTTAAGAGTTAGACCATATATACTATAAGTATAAAATGTAAATAGACTATAGTCATTCATCTACGGGATTTTCATTTAATATTAGACAGAGACACGTATATAAAACCCCAATCGAGCCCCGACCAGTTCCAACGGGATTGGAATTACGATGGCCTGAGCCGAGGTTCGGACCCCTAGTGGTGCCCTCAGAGTAAAGTCGTATCCGTCAGGCAGGAGTTGGCCTTCAGCCGTTCCATAAGTCCTTCCGCGGGTTTGGAGTGCCATCTGCACTCGCCCCCTATCGTCCGGTGAAGCTATAAAGGCCAGCTGCGGCATATAACAGTATTAGTGTAGTCCGAAAAAAAAATAGGTACACAATGTAAATAAGTTGGCTTTTAAAAATAAGAAATTCATTCGAGTTTCTTGCCAGTTCCCCTCAATTGAATCTATATACTGAACTGGACGGTAGGGAAAATATTAATATACAAACTTGACATTCACAAGAGTCTAAAATATCCTACAGGAACAATTGATTTTTGTTTTTTTAGCCGTAACCTGAAGAGAGCAGTTCTCACAAACAGCTGCCGTTCTTGAGTTACGATTTTACCGAACAAGTGTATTTATGATATCACACATGGTAATAATAGCGGAATTAAACAAAACAATAATAGTATAATTATTACTTTATTAAGTTCTAGAATTTAGTATCTGCGGTAGATTTGAGTAGACTATACATAAAAAATATTTCCCTAAAGTCAGTTTCAATTATTTGTTTAATATATAGTTGATATGTACCATTAGGCTGTTTGCAATTATTTATACCACGAATGAGGTAATTAAACATACGGTTTACCTTATGGTAAATGGTTACCGTAGCCTATAGACGTCTGAAACACGAGAGCTGATGCGCGTTGCCAACGTCTAAGTATCCTTAATATATCACGAAAAACACATGTTGTAGTCTTTAGAGAAAACTTCGAGTAGTTTATTCCAATCTAAGTAGTAAAACTAAAACTTAGATTTACTTAGAGAAAAATTGCGAGCTCTGTAGCTCAATGAAGTAGTACAATGAAGATATACCATCATAAAAGCCACGACCACTCTGTCAAGAGTGAACGACTGAAAAAGACTAAAACATGGCAAAATCCCGTGATTTTTTTAATTATACGTATAATGAACGTATAAAAAAAAGTATATATATATAGATCTTATATATAAAATTCTCGTGTCACAATGTTAGTTACCATACTCCTCTGAAACTGTGAAATTTTTATGAAATTTTACATGCATATTCAGTAGGTCTGAGAATCGGCTACTATCTATTTTTTATACCCCTAAGTGGTAAGAGATATCCACCCCAAAATATACATAGTTTTATTTTTTCGACATAATATTTTATTTTCATTTTATTACTATTTAGGACAACTCGGATTTTTTACTAGCGATTTTAATTTATATGTCAAAACAACGTTTGCCGGGACAGCTGTGTGTATTTTATGCATAGTGTTAAGTCCGCCAAATGTACTTTACTATATTTTGTATTGATTGCATTGAATTTAAATAAATAAATAAAAATCGACTCACCGCCGGATGGACGTGTGGATGTGAGTATAGCTGCATTCTGCGTGTGTCCACACTGTACGTATTTAAAGGGATATCGTTCATGTCGAAGGTCTCAGGAAGTGAGCGTGGAGTCAGTCCTGTAACGCTACCATTGCAGTCATCATCAAGACTGATGCCATCTGGGCTGCTGGACACTGGGAACAAAGACATAAACAGTATTACCGTAACATGAAAAATAATGTTTTAGTTCAAACTGAATAACTTATTTTAATAATCATCTCAGGACATCTCAGGACAATTCACACAGCGCCATCTAGACCCAAGTTATGCTAGCTAAGCTAGGGTTCTAGACAACTGATACAAATACATAGATATTTATTTTCATAAATACATATATATTATACATAGAAAATACCCAGACCGATACAAACAATCATACTCACGAATACAAATTTTTGTGCCGTGCGAGGAAGTGAACCCCCGACTATTGGACGTAAAACGGTGTGCTAGACCGCTAGATCACCGAGGCTGTCAAATTATAATATTTTATAAAACTAAGAACCTACAATTAAAAACCTTACAAAATATATTTTTATAGGTTATATTATATTTTTTTAAAAGGAGTCCCTTTAGGCAATGTTCAGAAGATACTAGCAGCGTTTCCTCTTTGAATGGCTAGACTAATTCTTTGTCCGGTAAAATTATTCTAACAGTATTATACGCATGCTTCTATTATAGAACTTTAACTTAAATATGGAATCTTAATAATATGGTAATCATGTACTAGCTCGTTTAAAAAGAAAAGGGTTGAGTTTCTTGTCAGTTCTTCTCAGATTGAAAGTACTACGAACTGACTGTAGATTTAACATATCATGAAAGTAATAGACCTACATAAATAAAGATATTTGGATTTGATTTTATTTGATTTGTATATTATAAACGTTTGTGAGTGTGCATAGATATTTGTTACTTTTTCACTCAAAAACTACTATACGGATTTTGACGAAACTTTACAGTAATATAGTTTATACAAGGCAACACATAGGCTACAATTTAAAAAGATATCATGTAAATTAGTTAAGAGTAATGCAGACGAAATTGCGCAGGTAACCTAGTATGTAGAATACTAGCTGTGCCCGCGGTGTCAGCCGCGTGAATGTTGCCTGTGTGTTATTCTGAAGTATAAGCTATTTTACTGTAAAGTTTCAACAAAATACGTTCAGTAGATTTTGCGCAAAAAAACTAATACCCAACTATTCATCGATACCCACAAGCTTTTGCGTTTATTATACGACTAGCTTTTGCCCGCGGCTTCGCTCGCGTTATTTTATCCTCTTACGGGTGGAATTCATCAAAATCCTTCTTAAGGGATGCCTACGTCATAGTAGCTTTATGCATGCAAAGTCTCAGCCCGATCGGTTTGAAATTGACAAAGTTTCGTACAAACGTTCATCCATATATAGTACGAGAAACTTAAAACAAAAGAACATAATTCTGGAAATTATATTATTTATTTCAATATTATATATATAAATTACGTGTCACGTTGTTTGTCCGCGATGGCCTTCTAAACTACTGAACCGATTGCAAATTTGATTTGCACATTGTGCAATTTTAGATTGATCCAACTCGAAAGATATGATAGCTTACTTCTCAATTTATAGTCGCAATATTATTTTATTCAAGTACCTTAGCCACAGCAACGCGTGGACGGGTCTGTTAGTATAGTATATCACCATACTACATACATTTGTGTCACATTTCCTAACGGTCAAATATCTGTACAAAAAAGTTATCGCCATCTACTCACTTATCTTAATAATTTACGACTCAATAAAAATCGCAAAAATTGTGACCGACACATGTTTTTGTGGCATTGGAAAAAATAACTGGACCATCTCACGCACTGTGAGTTTTAGATTTAGTTACTTAATTCCTTCTATATTGTTGTGAAACCTCTTTTGTTATTTTTTTTATATTTAAAAGTAATATGTTTATAAAATTTTGATAGTTCGTTCCTCAGATTATTTGTAAAAAGTGGCATTATATTTTTCTTTCTGTGTTTAATAAATTATTTTATTTCTTTATATATAAATTAGTATACATCAATCAGAACTACCTACTACTACCTGCGTACAGTGGGTACGTAGGTTGAGTGGATTTATAAGTAATACAAACAATCATACTCATAAATAGAAATGTTTGTATGGTGCGAAGATTCAACCCGCGACAATCGGAAGTCAAGCGCAGTGCACAACCGATAGATCACCGAGGCCGTTTAGCCATATCTTATTGCATACCCTTTAGGCTTTAATCTTTGAACTCTCTCGACACTATTTAACTCGTTATTAACATTTGATAGGTATGTAATTATCTTGTACTAGCTGACCCTCGTAACTTAGCCTGCATCATACTTGACATTTATCGTTATATTTCGCCCAACACACACAATATCTTTTTAAATTATATCCTATATGTTACTCTGATATATAAGCTATATTACTGTTCAGTTTCGTCGAAATCCGTTCAGTAGTTTCTGTCTGAAAGAGTAACAATAATCCATCCATATTTTAATACATACTTAGAAACTAATTTATATATAATATATAAATTAGTATAATATATAAATATATATATATTATAAGTATTAGTAATATTCTACCTGACAATCGAAAATTATATAGTATTGTATACCACGAGTAGTAAGCTACCGATTTTCCTTCTATCTGTATGAAAAACTATTGTTGCACGATGTAATTAATAATAGAAATTCTTTTTAAATCGTCCCGTGAAGACTTATGCATAAAAACTTTTATTACTACTACTAGCTATAGTACCTTGAAATAGAAATAGAAATAATCTTTATTCAAATAAACTTAATATAAGCACTTTTGAATAGTCAAGTCTTTTTATACTACCGCTCATTCAGAATGCAGAGTCATCACAAGAAGAATGAGCAAAAAACTTTTGTGTTGCTCTTTTAAATAAATATTGATTTACTTATATTTAACAAGGATTAGGCATGCGACAATCAACATAGAAACCGCTACGCACTCAATCTCTGTTCAATCAGATAACATTGTCAGCGCTATGAATTTTAAGTTAGATATTTTCTACAAAAACATTATTGTCATTTATAAATTCTTCAATTTTATAATAAGCTTTTTTACGAGAAAATATTTTATAACACATTTGAATTTTTTTCTGGCAAATTAAGTACAGACTATGGGAGTTTGTTGTAAAACCTTACGCAATTTCCATAAAATGAATTACTAACTTTCGTCAAACGGCACTTAGGTAAAACTAGTTTGTTGACATTACGTAAGCATTTTATTTGAATAAAGATTATTTCTATTTCTATTTATTAGTGTAATAACCAAATTTTTTAAAACTGTTAATGTTCTTCCTGGTATACATAATATTTTCGTAGATGTATTGAGAAGCAATGGTGGATGTTGCCGATGGCAAAAAAAAGTAAGAAACATCCATCCATGGTCACAAACTTTCGCGTTTATAATATCACAAAGATTTTTATTTCTTATATTCCTTCTCGTTGTTTTCATTTCTTTAGCACGTTTTGTTTTGGTATACATTTGTTCGTAATACAGTCAGCTGCATAGATTTATACAACTCTGCACTAGATATTAAAACAATAAATTCCTTACATAAGTATTATAGATGAATGCCGCGTATGTATCCAATTTCGTTATAGGATCCAATGAAGAAGTAGACTCAGGTGTTCTGACCATGAGAAATAAATTATTATGGTAACATAACCAATATGTATAATATGACACTTATTTACATACAGTTACGTTCTATATTACAGAGGTAAAAGTCGGCGAATTATGACTTGCGGTCTAGCACACCGCTTTACGTCCAATGGTCGCGGGTTCGATCCTCGCACGGCACAAGCATTTGTATTCATGAGTATGATTGTTTGTCTCGGTCTGGGTGTTTTCTATGTATTTGTATCAGTTGTCTAGTACCCATATCACAAGCTTTAGCTAGCCTAACTTGGGTCTAGATGGCGCTGTGTGAATTGTCCTGAGATTATTATTATTATTATCTGTTACAGATTGTGGTAGTTGTTTTCAAATATGTAAATAGATTTTAATGTTACCATCTAAACCCTGAGTAAGGAAGCTACTGTTATATGGGATAAAATAATGTATGGAAGTAACATTTTTGGAATTAGAACGATGCAACTTTTTTCATTAGCTGTTTTTGGTTAGATTATTAAATACTTTATACTATAAGGTCATATGTACTGATTGAATCTTATTGTCTTTTTATATTTGACCCTAAATAAATTAGTGCGTTGGTAGTTTGTATTCACACGTTTCGACTTGCAAAATGTGAACTTATAAGGATTGTATTAAGAGCAACACACAAGTTTCTTGCTTATTCTTCTTGTGATAAGACAGCTTTCTGAATGAGCGGTAGATTTAAAAAAAATTGTTGACTATTTAAAAGTGCTTAAATTAAGTTTATTTGAATAAAGGATTTTCTATACTATTCTACTTGTTAGACCTACAATGAGAGTCACTGGCAGTTTTTATATATTCTTTTATCCATATTCAAAATATAATGTTCTTTATATACTTTTTGTTTTATAATACTTCTGTCACTGCGCTCTATTATATAATAATATAATTATTTTATAATAATAATATAATATAATAATAAAAGACGTCTATTCTAGCATCTACCCATTTTCATTAATTTTTACTCTCCTATACTACGCGGACGAAATCGCAGGCACAGGTGGTGTTACATAAATCTCGAATATAGTGTGTAGTCACCAACATAACTATACACTATATTTGATATGAGATGATGTAGGATAAAAGCGTAACAAACAAATAAAAGCAAATAACTTATAGCATTATCTTAGATATATTTGTGAGGTAGAGTTTACCACAACACAAAGTAATATACAATTTATACAATAAAATATGACTAAATTGGAACCCTCATCTATACATATAAATAAAATTGGAGTGTCTGTTTGTAATGTTGAAATAACCGTTTCATACTACATGCATATGAATAGAAATACGGTACATCTGTACATCAAAATAACATTTTCTACAATGTTTATCTGTCTGTCTGTTTGTTCGGCTAATCACTGAAATGGCCGGATCGATTCTGACGGGATTTTATTGGCAGGTAGCTGATGT